AAAAAAAAAAAAAAAAAAAAAAAAAGTGTATATTTTGTGTATTTGAAGTGGAGAGTTCTATAAATGTTTATTAAGTTTAGTTGTTCCGGATCTGAGTTCGAGTCCTGGATATCCTTGTTAATTTTCTGTCTCGTTGATCTGTCTAATATTGATGTTGAAGTCTCCCACTATTATTGAGTGGGAGTCTAAGTCTCTTTATAAGTCTTATGTATCTGGGTGCTCCTGTATTGGGTGCGTATGTATTTAGGATCGTTAGCTCTTCTTGTTGCATTGACCCTTTTACCACTATGTAATGTCCTTCCTTGCCTCTTTTGATCTTTGTTGCTTTAAAGTCTATTTTATCAGAGGCGAGAATTGCAACTCCTGCTTTTTATTTATTTATTTATTTTTGCTCTCCATTTGGTTGGTAAATTTTTCTCCATCCCTTTGTTTTGAGTCTTTGTGTATCCTTGCATGTGAGATGGGTCTGGATGCAGCACACCGATGGATTTTGGCTGTGTCAGTTTTTGTATTTTTACTAGAGATGGGGTTTCATCATGTTGGGCAGGCGGGTCTTGATCTTCTGACCTCATGATCTGCCCACCTCAGCCTCCCAAAGTGCTGGGATTACAGGTGTGAGCTACCGCACCCAGCCAAAAAGGGGTTTTAACTAAAGTTATCAGGAAAAAAAATGCTTTAAGAAAATTCAGCTGGGTGCAGTGGCTCACGCCTATAATCCCAGCACTCTGGGAGGCCGAGGAAGGCAGATCACCTGAGGTTGGGAGTTCGAGACCAGCCTGCCCAACAAGGAGAAACCTCATCTCTACTAAAAATACAAAATTAGCCAGGCATGGTGGCACATGCCTGTAATCCCAAGCTACTCGGGAGGCTGAGGCAGGAGAATCGCTTGAACTCGGGAGGTGGAGGTTGTGGTGATCTGAGATCGTGCCACTATATACTCCAGCCTGGGCAATAAGAGTGAAACTCTGTTTCCAAAAAACAGAAAGAAAATTCAATATTTAATCCATTTAAAAAATCTGGCTCTTTTGAAAGCAACAAATAAATCTTTAGCACGTCAAGGATCAAAAGAAAATATAACTATTAGTAAAAATAAACACTGACATAAATTTAAAACTGCAAAACAGAGGTTAAACTGGAGAATATCACACACAGCATTACATGAATCCACGGAAAACGGCGCTAGAGGCCAGGGGAACATCAGCCTGCACCCCTCTGGAAGGCCAGCCCACCTAGCAGACCCCAAAACTGAATTTCCATGTGATCCCAGGGGGTTCCCTCACCACTAGGGAACTGCTCTAAGTACAAGTAACTAACAAAGTCCAAACAAGAAAAGACCCAGCGCCTGGGCACATGGGAGACCAAAGCCAGAGACAGCACGTAACGAGCATGGTTCTCTAGGGCCTGGGTGCACAGGAGGCCACAGCCAGAGAGAGTGACGGGCGTGGTTCCAGGAGAGCCTCCAGGCCACCAACAGAAGCAGCAGCAAGGCAGGGAAACCAGGGCTCCTTAAAGAAGGCAGCAATTTCCTCTTTCCTGCCCCTGGGGACCCCTTCTCTCAACTGCTCGCTCTTCTCCACTGACCCAAAAGGCAGCACCATCACAGCCCACATTGCACACAGATGTGTCTATTTCTGTAATGCTCTCTGAACATTTTAAACAATGTGGAAGTGTAAACTACAAAGTTAAGGTTCTATTACTTGGCCAGGTGTGGTGATTCACACCTGTAATCCCAGCACTTTGGGAGGCCGAGGTAGACAGATCATCTGAGGTAAGCAGTTCAAGACCAGCCTGGCCAACACGGTAAAATCCCATCGCTACTAAAAAATAGAAAAAATTAGCCGGGCATGGTGGCGGGCACCTGTAACCCTAGCTACTTGGGAGGCTGAGGCACGAGAATCGCTTGAACCCAGGAGGCGGAGATTGCAGTGCATGCCACTGTGCTCCTGCCTGGGTGACACAGTGAGACTTCTTCTCAAAAACAAAAAGATACTGGCCAGAGCCGTGGCTCACGCCTGTAATCCCAGCACTTTGGGAGGCTGAGGTGGGCAGATCACAAGGTCAAGAGATCAAGACCATCCTGGCCAACATGGTGAAACCCCATCTCTACAAAAATACAAAAATTAGCTGGGCATGGTAGTAGGTGCCTGTAGTCCCAGCTCCTTGGGAAGCTGAGGCAGGAGAATCACTTGAACCCAGGAGGCAGAGGTTGCAAGTGAGCCAAGATCGTGCCACTGCACTCCAGCCTGGTGACAGAGCAAGACTCCGTCTCAGAAGAAAAAAAAAAAGAATGAAAAGGTACTATATTAAGCAGCTCTCAGGTTACAGGTGGTGGCTCATGCCTGTAATCCCAGCACTTTGGGAGGCTGAGGTGGGCAGATCACCTGAGGTCAGGAGTTCGAGATCAGCCTGGCCCGAGTGGTAAAACTCCATCTCTACTAAAAATACAAAAATAGCTGCATGTGGTGGTGGGCGCCTGTAATTCCAGTTACTCGGGAGGCTGAGGCAGGAGAATTGCTTGAACCTGGGAGGCAGGGCTGCAGTGACCTGAGATCATGTCATTGCACTCCAGCCTGGACAACAAGAACAAAACTCTGTCTCAAAAAAAAAAAAAAAGAAAAAAACCCAGTTCTCCAGATATGGGTATGGAATATCATCAGACTCCCCCAACCTTTTTTTTTTTTTTTTAAAAACTTTTTGAGACAGAGTCTCACTCTGTCTCCAGGCTGGAGTGCAGTGGCGCAATCTCGGATCACCACAATCTCTGTCTCCCAGGTTCAAGTGATTCTCCTGCCTCAGCCTCCCAAGCAGCTGGGACTACAGGTGTGTGCCATCATGCCTGGCTAATTTTTGTATTTTTAGTAGAGACGGGGTTTCACCATATTGGTCAGGCTGGTCTCGACCTCTGGACCTCGTGATCCACCTGCTTCGGCTCCCAAAGAGCTGGGATTACATGTGTGAGCCACTGCGCCTGTCCTCATCAGACTCTTTTACTGCATCTCTGTGACCGTGTAGTTTTTCTGTCTGCATCTGGTGATACCATAAATGTCATGAGAGGAGCCCTCCTTGCTCACTCTCACCTTCCTTCCAGTACACCGCTGGGCTCTGCTTTCCTTTACGTAACATTGACGGATGCACAGAGACGTGCCCAGAGGAAAAGGTGCCAACACCTCACACAAAGCTTGGCCGTGGGGCTGAGAGGCCAAAGCCTGTGCTGACCAGCCATGTTTTATACCAGTCAGGCATAACCATAAGCACAGGTTCATCTGGTAATTTTATAAAAAGAAAAACAAAGGAAGAAGTCAGGAGGAAGAAAATAGCCCTTAGGTGCTGGGGTGTCACTGCTCCCTTCATCCTGAGGGAAGGTCTCTGGCATGCTCCCTCCCTTGGTGCTCCTGGCACTGCAGGGTGAGCACTAATACAAGAGGGTCCACAAGCCGCGCCCCCCCACCTGCTCCCAGCTCCCTGGGCAAGCACTCATACAGGAGTGTCCTCGAGCCCCCCCAGCCTGCTCCCGGCTCCCTGGGCGAGCACTAATAATACAGGGGTGTCCGTGAGCCCCCCACCTGCTCCTGGCTTCCTGGGCAAGCACTAATAATACAGGGGTGTCCGTGAGCCCCCCACCGACCTGCTCCCGGCTCCCTGGGCGAGCACTAATAATACAGGGGTGTCCGTGAGCCCCCCCAACCTGCTCCCGGCTCCCTGGGTGAGCACTAATAATACAGGGGTGTCCATGAGCCCCCCCCAACCTGCTCCCGGCTCCCTGGGCGAGCACTAATACAGGGGTGTCCATGAGCCCCCCTCAACCTGCTCCCGGCTCCCTGGGCAAGCACCAATAATACAGGGGTATCCGTGAGCCCCCCCACCTGCTCCTGGCTCCCGGGCGAGCACCAATAATACAGGGGTATCCGTGAGCCCCCCCACCTGCTCCCGGCTCCCGGGCGAGCACCAATAATACAGGGGTGTCTGTTAGCCCCCCAACCTGCTCCCAGCTCCCTGGGCGAGCACTAATAATACAGGGGTGTCCGTGAGCCCCCCACCTGCTCGTCGCTGCGGTGGTAGTCATTGTCCTCCTCCGGCTTCTCTTCTGCGGCCTCTTTGTTTGAACTGTCGTCTGCTTTGGTTTCACCTTTAGTACAAACAGAACATAGTGCACCATGAAATCCAAACTGTTAAGCCATTTAAAAAAAAACTCTACACTGTACTCCAAATGTCATCAAAACTTCACGATATCAGGCGACTCTGGACCCCTGGAGTGGAGTAAGAGTCAAAGGAAAGCTGTCTGCAAAACATGTGCCAGGGTCTCCCCAGGATGTGGAACAGGTGTGTGGGTCTGTCAGTGCAGGCTCGGGGAGCGCAGAAGGCAGAGACGGGGCAGCTGGAGCCAGTGTGGGACACGGACACACACCGCACCCACCACATGGCCGGGCCTGCCCAGAGCTGCTCAGTGCTGATCACATCCATCCCTTCATTCCAAAAGCCTTCTCCTAAAAACCCAGTATTCTAACTCTGCTATTAAAATTAAAACTTCCCCTCAGGTTAAAAGGTTCAGACAAGACTGCTTGCTTCCCAGACAGGCTTCCTAACCACCCCTCAGGGCTGTGCTTCCAGGGCCCACAATGCGGATGGAGACAGGCCCAGGCCTCCTCACCCCCCAACTGTGACGGATACACAGGGAGCCTAAAGGCTTCTTCAGAGTCCGTGTGCTCCACTAGGAAAAAAAATGTCCTCAAGACGCAGAAATTTGTAGGGCTATGCTGGGATTTCAACATACATGAACTTTACACAGAAACCAACCATTATTCTGCCATTTTACAGTAAAACAAGCAGTCAAATCTCAGGAAGTTTACCTTCCACTACTTTTTCCCCAGGCCCTCCAACCCGTGACCTTTGTCCCCCACCTCCAGGCACTCTTGGGGGCCCTTTTGCTCTCCCCTGCTGGCCTCAGCCTCCAGGACCCCAACTTTTCCCCTCCACCCACATTCCCACTGGTGCCAGTGAGGAGGAGCACCTTGAACCCTAACCTCCCACCCCCTCAGGTGCCCTCATTGCCTCCGGGAGTACCTGTGGGAGCGCCTGGCAGACAGGGCCAGCTCTTTACGGAAGGCCCCGCGAAGGTATTCCCGGATGCCCGGACAGCATGTGGGGTGCACTCACCGTTCCGATGGGAATCTAAGTGCTGTTTTGCAGAGCAGGTCTCCCCCTTGATGTCTCCGGGCACCTCCATGCCCAGCTTGTGATAGAACTCCCTCTGCTTTCTCATTTCCGCTGCAGAAGATCAACACACAGGCTTTAACCTTACACAGGAACGAATCCTACTGCACTTCTGTTCATATACATCACATAAAGAGAATTGCAGATTTGCAGCATCAAGTTTGAAGGCTACTAATAAGGCTGCAGCAAATGAAGACTGGGATGCTCTGAGGGCTCAGCCTGGCAGGAAACGCAGCCCGGTACCCGCCCGCCAGCCCATGGGGGACAGGCTCAAGGCCAGGAAGCCCAGATGTGGGACGGGCATCCCCACCTTGGCCACCACCTACAAGCGTCCAACGTCACAGAACCCACCATCACTGGGGGCTTATCAACACTCAGCAGTTCAGCGCCTTGTCAGACACCACTGCTGACTCACGGCTGAGCCAGTGGCCTGCCTGGCTGCCTGTGGCTCCGAGATCAACCTGCCGCCAGGTTCTCCCCATGCTCTGGCTCCGTGGCAGACCCTGCCAACTCAGAGGCACCCCAGGCCACCATGGAGGAACCCCCAAGAGAGCCTTGCGGCCTGACAGCCCTGGGACCATGTGTCCACAGCCTGCAGGGAGGGCTGCTCTCAGCTGTGGGCTCTGGTGCCACATTGCCTGGCAGTGGTGAAGAATGCCCCCTGGTGTCTGTGGCCATAACCACTGGCACAAATTCCAGGGAAGAGGCTGGCTGGAGGAAGACAGGCAGCTTCCTTCTCACTCACACCTGCCCTTAGGTCCCTCTAGTTCCAGGGGGTCCACATGCAGCCCCCACTGACTGGACCAGGGAACGCTCTCCAAGCACAGGGGGCCCAACCCTCCAGGGATGGCCAGCAAGGCGAACTTGGTAAGGGCCCTCTAAGTGTGACCTTAGGTTCACAACCAAGCAACGCAGTGAAATATGTGGTCTCAGTTCAGAAGCACACTATAGGCAGCAAAGAAAAGTGAGAACAGAGCTGCTCACACCCGAACCTGGACATTACTCTGAAAGTAGCTTGTGTGCTGCGTGACCAAGGAACTCTTCACCAAACTTTTTATCCTCATGTTTGTTCTCCCTACATACCATGAACTTGGCCAGGCCAGGGAAACATCTGGAGCAGATCCCAACCTACACAGGTGCCTCACACACACCGACCCTGCAGGGACCATGCCCACATGAGGCCACAAGCTTGGACAGAGGGAAGAACACCCCGAGAGCTTGGGCAGACAGGAGGACGCCCTGAGAGCCTGGGTAGGGAGACAAGGGGACCCCCAGAGCCTGGGTAGAGAGAGAAGGGGACACCGAGAGCCTCTGTAGAGAGAGGAGGGGACCCCAAGAGCCTGGGTAGAGAGAGAGAAGGGGACCCCGAGAGCCTGGGCAGAGAGAGGAGGGGACCCCGAGAGCCTGGGTACAGACAGGAGGGGACCCCGAGAGCCTCTGTAGAGACAGGAGGGGACCCCGAGAGCCTGGGTAGAGAGAGGAGGGGACCCCGAGAGCCTGGGTAGGGAGAGAAGGGGACCCCCAGAGCCTGGGTAGAGAGAGGAGGGGACCCTCAGAGCCTGGGTAGAGAGAGGAGGGGACCCCCCAGAGCCTGGGTAGAGAGAGGAGGGGACCCCGAGAGCCTAGGCAGAGACAGGAGGGGACCCCGAGAGCCTGGGCAGAGAGAGGGGACCCCGAGAGCCTGGGCAGAGCGAGAAGGGGACCCCGAGAGCCTGGGCAGAGACAGGAGGGGACCCCGAGAGCCTGGGCAGAGAGAGAAGGGACCCCGAGAGCCTGGGTAGAGAGAGGAGGGGACCCCGAGAGCCTGGGTAGAGAGAGGAGGGGACCCCGAGAGCCTGGGTAGAGAGAGAAGGGACCCCGAGAGCCTGGGTAGAGAGAGAAGGGGACCCCGAGAGCCTGGGTAGAGAGAGAAGGGGACCCCGAGAGCCTGGGTAGAGAGAGGAGGGGACCCCGAGAGCCTCTGTAGAGAGAGGAGGGGACCCCGAGAGCCTGGCTGGAGAGAGGAGGGGACCCCGAGAGCCTGGGTAGGGAGAGAAGGGACCCCGAGAGCCTGGGTAGAGAGAGGAGGGGACCCCGAGAGCCTCTGTAGAGAGAGGAGGGGACCCCGAGAGCCTCTGTAGAGAGAGTAGGGGACCCCGAGAGCCTGGCTGGAGAGAGGAGGGGACCCTGAGAGCCTGGCTGGAGAGAGGAGGGGAACCCGAGAGCCTCTGTAGAGAGAGGAGGGGACCCCGAGAGCCTCTGTAGAGAGAGTAGGGGACCCCGAGAGCCTGGCTGGAGAGAGGAGGGGAACCCGAGAGCCTGGGTAGAGAGAGGAGGGGACCCCGAGAGCCTGGGTGGAGAGAGGAGGGGAACCCGAGAGCCTGGGCAGAGAGAGGAGGGGACCCCGAGAGCCAAGAGGATGGGTGCGGCTGGCCTTGGGTAGATGGAGTGCTGGACGCTCACAAGGTGAAATGCTGAAATAATCTGAGAGCAGCCTGAAAGGAAACGTTTCCCGTAAATAATTGCATCTCAGCAGCCAGAACGAAGGCCTGGAAGGAAGAGCTGACAGCAGGACGCTGCCCCATCAGTCTCCAGAAGAGCCGTGATGGGAACGTCAGAAAGGCCGCGCAGGTCAGTGCAAAGGAGAGAGCCCCGTGGACACAGTGGAAAACAACTCAGCTTCAGATGCTTGGCTCTGATTCCCATTTCTTTTTCACCTCTAAGAATAAAAGAAGGATTAAAAATAGTGACACTCAATGTGAAGTGTATACAGGCATTAAAACATTTACTGGGGCTTGGCACAGTGGCTCACACCTGTCATCCCAACACTTTGGGAGGCCGAGGCAGGTGGATCACCTGAGGTCAGGAGTTTGCAACCATCCTGGCCAACATGGTGAAACCCCGTCTCTACTAAAAATACAAAAATATAGCTGGACATGGTGGTGCATGCCTATAGTCCCAGCTACTCAGGAGGCTGAGGCAGGAGAATCACTTGAACCCGGGAAGCAGAGGTTGCAATAGCTGAGATCGTGCCATTGCACTCCAGCCTGGGAAACAAAAGCAAAACCCCGTCCCAAAAATAATAATTGTTTTTTAAATGAGCTTAATGTCTCTGGACACTGCTCTTCAGCTGCAGCAGTCCAGCCCGATTTGATGAACTCACCACTGGCACACAGCTAACAACTCAGCCAGTTGGAAGCTTACTCTAACTAAAGCCACATCTTCATTTTACTTCCGTGAAGAAATGCTGCTGTGATGAGACGTTCCATTTTAAATTTTCAGTATCTTCTAAACACCGCTCTCCCGTGAGTGGGGAACATGTGACGTGTTTAGCCTGGTGACTCCATCGCTGGCTGTTTTCTCTCAGCATAGCTAGTGTCACGGATGAGGAACTCAGTGCTGTCCGTCAACAATGACAGTTCAGCGACACAGTGACCCAGACGCCTCTGTGGCTCTGAAGCACAACCACAGGAGTCCACCTTCCCTTCCTTGTTCTGAAGTGAAGGTGGTGCGGTGCTCATAAACACGTCCTGACACAGTGATGGTGAGTGCCACTGCAGCTGAGAGCTGCTTAGAGCCATGGGCCAGCAGCACAAGCCTGCCGCACACCCAGCCGCACCACAGACGGGTGCAGACAGCACAGCAGCTGAGCCAGTGGGGCCGTGCTCTGACAAGGCTACGCACCAGGAAATTTCAATGCTTAAATTTTTACGTCATAAAATACTATACTTTTGATTTTTTCCAACATTCTTAGCTCGTGGGATCCTCTCACCTTGGCCTCCCAGAGTGCTAGGGTTAAGGCATGAGACACCATGTCCGGCCCCCACGTTTCTAAAGCAAGAGGTGACAGGCACGCTCAGGGTCCGTGTAAAGAGGGCTGGTGAGCGAGTCAGCCCCACGGCCCTCACCAGGAATGGGCGGAGCCTGGCATAGCAAAATCCATGCCACATTCATCGAGTCAAAGGAGCCCACAGTGGGCAGAGACTGAGAATGGAGCCTTGATAAATGTCATAAAGATGTTGCCTCTATGAAGACAGGTTTCTAAAAACAATTATAAAAACAAAAAGAAATAACAAACCACTAAAAACCTAACCTCACCTCTGATCTAGCAACGAACCCCTTCCAGCAAGATGGGAAGGGAAGCATCCACTACATCAGGGGCAGGGACAGTTCCCTGGAGGGACAGTGTGGAGGTCCTGGAGCCCAGCAGGGGACTGGGGACAGTGTGGAGGGCCTGGAGCCCAGCAGGGGAGGGGGGACAGCGTGGAGGGCC